CTGCCCCCCTCAGCAGTGTCTTTGGTCTGTCTGCCTGTTCTGCTCCCCACTCTGTCTCTGGTGTATCCACTCACCCTCCTACACCTCTGGCCTGTACCCTAGTTCTTATATAAATAAAAATAAAATCTTTTTTAAAAATGCATATGCTGATTCCTTGGCTCTGGGGTAGAGGCTGAGATTCTGTTTTTCTCACACACTTGGGTGATACTGATGCTGTTGGTCCCAAGACCAACAGCAAAAGGGTTGTAAATGAGTAGCTAAATGGTGTAGTAAATGTATGGGAACTCTATGTCACTCAGTAAAAATGAACAGACCCAGAGTAGACACAATTCATGGGCTGACCCTCCTACCTTAAAATGCAAAGTATTCATTAGTTAAGGCCTGCTGCCTTAAAATGCAAAGAATTTTTTTGTGTGTGTTTGTCTTGTTAGAGTTTTAGTGTTTTTTTTTTTTAATGATTCTTTTGAATATATAATAGTGTACATGGTAAAAAAAAAATTTTTTTTCCCACGAAATCCAAAAGGGTGTAAAGTCAAAGCACATAGTTCTGGGCCTCCCCTGGTGGCGCAGCGCTTGAGCGCTGGGCTGCCAAGGTGCCTGCAGCCTCTGCAGCTCTGGTTCGATCCCCGGCCTCCGGGCAAGGGCCCCACATGGCGCGCAGACCTCTCCTGCCGCCCGCTGCTCCCCTCAGCAGTGTATTTTGTCAGTCTGCCTGCTCTGCTCCCTGCTCTGGCGCTAGTGAATTCTCTCACCCTCCTGCGCTTCTGACTGTACCCAGTGCTTGAATAAAATATAAAAAAAAAAAGCACATAGTTCTGCAGAGAGGCTCACTATGACTTCTTGGGGTTTTTTTCTAGAGATATTTCCTGCATATATTTGTCCCATTTCTCTTTTTTTAAGATGTCAGCACAATATTCGCTGATGTTGCTGTGCCACTTTCTTTTTCCATTTTATTGTATCTTAGAGGTCATTCCATAGCTAAGTGGAAAGCTCTCCGTCCCATTCACTGGGTGAAATCATGTCCATTCGAGATGCTTCTATGTTTTATGGAGCACACAGAACCTGTGACTACTTGCCTGCTTCCTCGGCCTGCACAGGTCAGTTTCCAGAGAGAATAGTTGTCTAGTATTCCATTCTTTGCTTTTTTTTTAAGATTTATTTATTTATGCATAGAAGAACTGGGGTGTAGGCCACAGGTGAAGGAGGGAGTATGTGAGAGAATTCACCAGAGACAGAGTGGGGAACAGAACAGGTGGATCTACTAAAATACACTGCTGAGGGGAGCAGCGGGTGAGCTGCGCCATGTGGGTTAGCTTCCTGGCCGGAGATCAAATTCAAGCCGTAGTGGTCAGAGTGCTGAGACTTAACCCCTGGGCCACACTCCCTCGTTTCCTTTCTTTGAATCCTCTAAATTACCTGACCCACAGGGCATGTTTGGCGTTCATTTGACAGAGCAAGTAGCCACTTTTTTTAAAAAAGATTTATTTATGCATGCATGCAAGAGCTGGGGTACAGGACAGAGATGCAGGGGGTGAGAGAATTCACCAGAGATAGATCAGGGAACAGAACAGGCAGACTGGCTGAAACACACTGCTAAGGGAAGCAGTGGGTGAGATAGGAGAGGTCTGCCTCGCCATGTGGGTTGCTCCCTGGCCAGCGGGGGATTGAACTCGTGCTCCAGAGGCTGAGGATTGCTTCATAGTGCAGTGCTTAACCCCTTGGGTCACCAGGGAGGACTCCCAAGTAGCCACTTTTGTTCTTCCGATTCCAATCTCAAGAGAGTCAAATGACTTCCTTACGCTGTCTTCCCTCAGCACTCAAATTACTCAGACAATCTCTGATTTAGTAATGCGCTGTTATGAAACACCACATGCCTGGGTATATTGACAGGGTTCAGGACACACTCCCCCAAAATATGGTGTCTTGGCTTATTGGCTATCTCAGGCTGATGGAATCTAAGACAGTGCAGGGAGGACTGTCTGACCTTCTCCTGAAGCAGGTCATAAGCCCTCGGGGTGAGACATGCCCTTCCAGACGGGAGGAAAGACTCTTCCTTATCTCTAAGACAAAGGGACACTCCTGCCCCCACCCCCAACCTGAATAACCAGTTTCCTACTCTAAGCTCATCCCTCTTTTGTCTGATCCATTTTCCCACGACTTTCCACTTTTCTCCAGCCCTGGCACAGAAACACATAGGCTTAATAACCTCGTCGAGTCTTCCCTTCCTTATAAAGATTCTCATACGATATAACTTAGGTGGAATAAATTTATATGCTTTTCTCTTGTTAACCTGTATTTTGTTGCAGAAGCCTAGCCAACAACTAGAAGATATTTCTTTCCTCTCCTGTATTTAAGGTACACATAAAGAAGTCTTCTGCCCCCCAACCTGGTGGGCTCCCCCACCGCACGACAGCTGTCCCCCAAGAGATAACTACTAGCTTTAACTGTACCTTCATCATGTCTGAGTTTCTTTTTTCTCAGTGGTCCTCAAGCTTCAGAGGGTCTGTTAGAACACAGATTGCTGGGCCCCATGCCCAACCTCTTGTTTCATAACTCGGGGGGCAGGACCCAATAATTTGTGCTTCTTACAAGTTCCCACATGACACTGCTGACCCCAGAACCACACTTGGGGAGTCATTGCTTCATCCCAGAGACCCTGTCGACTTCTAGGTGATAAGCTGGTACTCCCCTGAAACCTAACTGCTCTACAAATGCATCTTAAGCACCTCCTCTCCTTCTTCCTCTACTGCATTTTCTATCACCCAATAAATGAGCCGCAGTCTTTGCAAAATGCTTCCTTTGTTTGTGCCCCTCCTCTGTGTGTGTCCATCATGGTGACACACAGCACGAATAAGCCCCCCTCATCTAGACTTTGCTCTCTGAAGGCAGGAATCAAATGAAGAGGGTCATAAGTGCCACCCCAAAATAGGTTGCTGTAGGAAATAGACTATTTTGAGATGAAAGCTCTTGAGACACAGCAGATGCAGAAAAAGCCAACTGACCTCCTCCTCGCGACCTAAAAGCAGGCCATAAAACTTCCCTGGTGCAAGGTGCCCTCCCTGTACCAGGAAGAGACGATCACTCTTATCACCGGAGACCAGGAGTCGACTCCAGCCTAGACAAACAAACCTCCTAAAACAACCCTTATCTTCCATTGCATCCCCCACGTATTTCCTCCTCCCTGTCCCACAGTTTATTGCATCTGCCCCAAGCCACTTTGTCTTGTCACATCCCCACAATTCATCACGCTTTGTGTAGAAAGATATAGAAGCTTTGGGCCCCAATGGCCCCTAGAGTCTTCATTTTCCTACAGAAGACTCCCGTGAAGATGTTTTTAAAAAATTAAATAAATTGGTATGCTTTTCTCCTATCAATCTAACTAAATTCAGGCCAGTCACAGAGCTGGGGAGGGTAGCAGGAAGGCTTTCCTTCCCCTGCACAAGTGTATATTTCCTTGATAGTCCTCAAGTAAGCCACTGGCCACATGATTGCAAACTCAATTGTTTGCAAAGGCCAAAGGCAATGTAAGCAGAACTTACCAACCTCGAGGCCAGGTGGAGTCAAAAGGGTAGCTACCACTCATGCACACACTGTTTTCTGACTTCTCTATTTTTCAAGCAAAACCAGGGTCTCCTTGGTGGCGCAGTGGGTTGAGCGGCGCAGTGGGTTGAGCACAGCGCTGTGAAGCTGTCGGCAGCCTCTGCAGCTCGGGTTCTATCCCCGGCAGGCCAGGGACTTACCCACATGACACAGCAGACCTCTCCTGTCTCACCCGCTGCTACCCTCAGCAGTATGTTCAATCAGTCTGCCTGTTCTGCTCCCCACTCTGTCTCTGGTGAATCCTCTCACCCCCATGCACCTCTGGCCTGTACCCCAGTTCTTGTATAAATAAATAAATCATTATTTAAAAAAGAGAGAGAGAGAAAAACAAGACATAATTCCAACTAATTCTGTACTTACGGTACACAGATAGACACCAAGAGCCCATGGGATTCCATCTGTTTGCTAGAACCAAAACAAATTCATTCTGTGTTCCAAGACCTTTACCAGTAGCTGGATGGGTGGGCTGGGGAGTGTGTGGGTTACCGTTGCAGCTATCTGGGGTGGAGGGAACACATGGTTGTTGAGAGCCTGCGGCCAGCCCAGCCCTGCACAGGCCTATGGATCTCATCTCATTTGACCTTTGTCGCAACACTGCCAGGTAATCATTATCATTCTCTTTTCTGTCCACACTCATTTCACAGATAAAGAAATGGAGGTTTAGAAAGGCCCAAGGTCACACCCTGGTTTTCATTTAAAAAAAAAAAAAAAAAAAAAAAAAGATTTATTTATTTATTTATGCATACAAGACAGGGGTGTTTGTCAGAGGTTTGGGGGGTGAGAGGATTCACTAGAGACAGAGCGGGGAGCAGAACAGGCAGACTGACTGAAATACACTGTTGAGGGGAGCAGCCAGCAAGACAGGAGAGGTCTGCTGTGCCATGTGGATAGCTCCCTGGCTGGGGATCGAACTCATGCTGCAGTAGTTGCGGACAGCTTCACAGTGCTGAAACTTAACCCCTGCACCATCAGGGAGGCCCCCTCGCCCTGATTTTCTTGATTTATAACCTACCTAATTCCAAACACAGGATTTTAGATGGACTGGTAAGCTGGGTCCTGAGCCCAGATAGCTCTTTGGCACCAATTTGCCACCACAGAAGGATGTAGCTTCCCCCAGAAGGCAGGTGCAGGAGTGGCCAGAGGGTCCAGAGCAGCTTTGATCCCTTGGGCATCTTACCCAGCAACTCCTAGCTTTGTGCTCCTCGGGGACGGCAGCCGGTGCTGAGGAGCTAAGATACAAGGACTCTTTTGCCATTTCCATCTTGTCTTCCTCCCTCCATTCTTATTCCTTTCTCAGAATTCAAGATTTCTGCCTCCCAGCCTCAGAGCCCATGCCATCTTAACTTCTTTCTAGAGCCCAGCAGGGTAAGGACAGAGATGCAGATGCAGGAGGTGTTTGAATGGAAACCATTTTATTGGAGTTACGATCCCGGAAAGCAGGAGTGTGGGCTGGTGGTCAGGTCCCACGCTCGCCTGCTCCTCCAGTGGGTGTCAGCAGCGCTGGGAGCTGAAGGTCACGTCACTAGGCATCAGGAGCTGCACTCCTCCATCCTTTTGGCTGGAGGGAGAGAAAAGAGGGTCAGATTTGGGGCCCTAGGGGAGCTGCAGTGCTCCACCAGGATGCCCAAGACAGAACGGGTGCTCTTGGAAAGTGCTCCCCATTCCTGCTAAGAGGAGTGGGTGGGGTCCCCTTAGCTTTGGTGAGGTTTTTCCTCCTTTCAGTGGCCCCATGTGCCCCCAACCTCCTTACCCGTCTAATGCCCATCCCCTCTCACCTTAGGAATGACATCCCAGTTGAGGAAAGGAAGCTTCCTTTTGATTGACTGAAACAGAAAGGGAGAGCAGGAGAGAGGCATTACAAGACAGATGAGCCCATCCCTGCACAGACCTGCAGACTAGTGATGTTTACTGTTTCACGATCCCTGAGAGCTCCTGAGCCCTTATGCTGCGTGGGCCCTGGACTATTTTACAGCCGTGGTTCTATCTGGTCTTCACGGCCACCTCTTGAGGTATTGTAACAGGGTGGTCCCCAGGAAAGGGGGAGGTTCCAGGTTCCCTGCCCCACCCAAGGAAGGGTGGAGCTGAGCAGGAAGAGGAGAAGCTGCAGAAGAGACTAAGGAAGGAAGCAGGATGGAGCAAGGAGACCTGGAGGAGGCACATGGAGCCTAGAGACACGTGAAGAAACTGCGCTTGTCTTTTGGTCGTGGACTGGGTGACACAGATGTGGGTGAGACCCGTGGGGAGGTGACAATGGCAGCTTTTATCTTGATGTTGATTTTGCTCTTTTCCTTCCGGGCTTGTCCGGTTGTTTGTGACCCTTTTCTGTGGGTCCCCACTGGAAGATGTTTTAGACTTGTGGCAGGCTTTGGGGCCTTGCTCTGGGCCGACCCCATATGGATGGAGTTTTACCCACGAGGGGATGGGTAACTTTGGGTGCTTCATTTAGAAACTAGACTCTTTGCCTCACCTGTATTGTTTCCTAGTTTTTATTAAAGATCCTTCCCATTAAAGTGTCATATGTTTTGTGTTGATGCGGCGGATGGCAGAACCCATTTAGAATAGGCAGGTTTGCGGGGTTTGGGCTACCCCTCTCCCTGTCCTATAACAGTATGAACAAGCCTCATCCCCCCATCACACGTGACAAAACCAAGTCTCCGAGAACTGAAGACACTTGCACATTTGCACAGAAAGTACACAGAGGCGTGAGGTGCAAGTTCCCACCCCCACTCTGTCACTGATTTCACCCTCTAGGCCACAGCAGCCTCCCGGGGGGACTTTCTTCAGCTGACAACACACTGGGCAGCATCACAGCAAGGAAATTACTCCCTCCCAGAACTTGGGAAAGACCCCGATGGGCTAGAACCCCAATGGGTCAAGGAGAGTGAGGGGTGCCCAAGCGCTTACCTCAAAGAGGGCATGCCAGTTCAGGAATTCTTCAGTCTTGAAAGCCTGTGGGGAGAGAGAGCAGAGGAGGGTCAGGAAAAGGTGAAGGGACTGTGGCGGCTTTGGGAGCACTCCACAAAGCGTTCATTTCCCCTCCCAACCCCACCCCCACCCCCACCGTAATGTGGGTCTTTATGGGCGTATCCTAAAGAATTGTACTTACAGATCTCAATTTGTCCAGGTTCACGAACTGAGAGTTAAAGGCCTGGGCAAAGAAAGCAAGTGTTATCAAAGTCTCTGAGGAACATGGAAATGCGGGGCACAGACTCACAGCTGGATTGTGGGGAAGAGGTTGCTTACCTCAGGTCCCGAGGCATAATTACTGAGCGTGGTTGCTTCCTGGAAAGTGAAGCAGAGAAAGGAGCCAAATGATGACATGATAGCAAGTACCTCTGTCCTCAAGCCCTGTCAGCCAGCTCTGCCCCCCCTCCACAGGCCGGTCCCCAAGACCACAGCCTGCGCTCTGCCCATGGCCTGGGTTACCCCAGTCTGTTCCAGTGATGGGAGGTGGAAGGGCAGGGGAAGGGAGGGATGGAGGGGGCACGTAGAGCACAGAGAAGTCACACCCCAGGTCGGCGGCCACAGAAGCATCCAGACATCCTCCCAGGACCAGGAACTGGCCCACAGTGGACTTGGGGTGTCCCCAAGGCACCCACACCTCACCCACAGAACTGAGTGGGGAGAGCAGCATGCAGGTGGCAGCTAAGCTGTGAGGCGCCCCGCTGCCTCTAACTGGGCTGTGAGTTTATCATCCCTCCATCTGGTGACCCGAGTGTTGACGCATGACCTCAGGGCATCTCATCTGGAGGCTCCCAACTGCAGCCCCCCCTTCCTAGTCCCTGTTCCTCCCTTCCTGCATCAGCTGTCATGAGCAGCAGCTGCCCAAATAGTTGCATCTTTCGTAGTAATTTGGCTTGTTTTTTCATTTGAATCAAACATTTTTAATTAGTAAGAATTCATAAGGAAATCCAGATTTCCAGTTTCTCCTAAAAGTTGAAACCCCATGCCAGGCTGGGAACGTCCCCTTCTTACCACCCCACCATCACCACCACCACCACCACCCCTAGCAGCCACCAGATGGAGCGAGAATAGCCCCTCCAGGGCTGGACTTCTCCTCCCCAGGCACCAGTGCCCTCTTGCTACTGGCACCACTGGCCTCCATCTAAGCAGCTGCATCTGTCACCCCCTATTGTAGGCCTTTAAATCCAGCATAGACATTCTCCCCCCCACCTGGGGAGATGATGGGGGTAAAGAGCCTCGGGATTCCTCCTGAGGGGGAGCCTGGGCACCAGGGAAGCTCCAGGACAGCAAAGTTGATGCTGACCACAGACGACCAACCTCAGGCCCCAGCCCCCCAGGATTCAGTCCCCCAGCCTCACCCACATCACCCGCTGCAGAAATACAAGCATCTCCACCCCCACCGGCCTTCCCAGAAACCCTTTGCTTCCTTGCCTCTTTTCTGCCAGTCCTCAGAGCCCAGGTGCCCGTTCAGTCCCAGATAACAGCCAAAGCTAAGAACAGCCACTTAGCATGACAGAAGGTGAGGAAATTGAGTTAGGGAGGGATGGGTCTGAGAGGAGGCCCAGGTGACTCGCTCACCTCAGAGCTCCCCAGGGCAGCCCCCTGGGCAGAGTGGAGCGCCAGGAGAGAGAGAAGAACCACAGCAGGAAGAACTGGGATCTTCATGGTGTCAAGTATGGGGTGCTCTGAGGCGGGGCCTCCCTGCTGGCCCTTTATATTCCCAGGGAGGTGGATGTGAGCAGAAATGGGGTTCCCACCCCACTGACTCAACCTCAGATCCTGTCACCCACCCCCGGGGCTCTGGGAGGGGGAGGTGTGGACTGTTCCCCACTTACCTCTGATTTCTCAATTCACATTCTGCCCGGGGCGCTCAGGAGCTGAGCCGGCAATGGGCCCCACATGCAAATGGAGCTGGGATGGGGACAGGTTGGACCTGTCCCTCCAAGGGATGGGCAATGGCACCCGAGTAACCTCTCCTTTTGTCTCTGCATCTCTCCCTTCCATTCTTCTTTGCTTCCCTACAGTCAAGCTCTTTTCTTCCCTGCTCTGTGCTGCCTGGACTCCTGAGCCTGGATGGAGACCGCCACGCTCCGGCTCCACCAGCCTCTCTGCTCTCATTCCCTTTGCCCTCACCTCACACGCTGCCCCAGCTGGACTCTTCACCCAGTACCCCCTCTTTTCCTCCTCCAAGCATCTGCCTGTGCTTCTCCCGCTTTATCCCTAAAACACTCTTCTCGCTCCTTCTCAGAAGCCAATATCCGTCTTAGATGGAGTACCCTGATTTCTCCCATCACCTCCCCCCAACACACCCCTATCTTTCCCATCGCAGATTTGGCCTGTCAATTCATTAGGATCTCTCTGGCATTGTGTTTAGAGTCGCTCATTTCCCTCTCAGAAGAGTAAGTTCCCTGAGGTCAGGAAAGATACCTTAAGCTCCGGCACACCCCCTGGGACCGTGCCTCACACCAGATGCGGGTGGAATCAATGTTTCTTTAATTGGCTATCTTAGAATTCAAGCATCCTTCCGCCAAGGTGTACCCCTTATTCCCTTGGAGCTGGACCCCTCATTATCCTTCTGCCCATCTTTTACTCTTGGGTCTTCAGAACTTTACTCTTGGGTCTTAAGAATCCAAGAAGACAAGGAACAGGAAAACACACACACACAAAAAGGGCAAAAACAGATCTTCGAGATGGTCAACTGGAAACGAGCTCTGGGTCCTGAACTTTGGGTGCTATTCCATGTCATTGTGCTCATCCCACCCCCTCAGCTTGGGAGATGTATCGCCCCAAAGTGACAAAACATCCTAATCAAGCAACCCTCTCCACAATGAGGTTCAGGTGGCCCGACCGGTTCTTGGTGGAACAGGGATGGGCTGGGACATGGCCTGGTGAGGCCAGGAGATTCAGAGTGGGCCTCTGTAGCCCAACCTCACACAGGCACAGGGCACAGGCTGGGGCCAGCCGAACCATCTTTATGAACCCAAGAAGCTGGCACTTTGGTCCATTCCCCTTGCTACATCTGCACCTCAGTCTCCAACTTCTGTCCCTCTTCAGCCCCACGAAACCCCCCTTGTCTCTGTAATGGCATCTCGCCCTTTGCAAAGCTACCTGAGGAGAGTGCTGAGGACAGCCACTGAGCACAGATGACCCTTGGCCAGTGGCCTGTGCAGTCGGTGCTACCTGAGGAGACAAATGAGAAAATGAGGCGGCTGGTGCACCTCCCAAATGTTTTTTTCTGGAGGACACAAGTCTTTATGTTACGGCACAATGAAGTGTTACTAATTAATTCACAATGACTGAAGGAGCTCATTAGCCACCATTCCCTCAGCTGTCGTCAACTCCAGCAGCGGAAGGAATGAAGAATCAACAAGCAGAACTGATATTCAACTGATAATCAACTCCAATTACACATGGTAAGGAGGAACACGTTGGCATGGGTGACCCCAAGCAACACATGCAAACACCCTCGTCGCGTAGGTTCTAGAGTTCTTTCGCTACCTATTGACTTGTCCATGTTTTCCTCTCCACCTAAAGCTAATGCTGCTGGTAATAACGTTAGTCAATATATTGACGTCTTGCTATGTGGCAGGCATTGTGCTAAGTGCTCTAAATGCATGATCTCATTCATATCACAGTGATGCTGGGAGGCAGGTGCTATAATGACTCACATTCTATAGCAGGGGACAACGGCATAGGCGGTCAGGTCACTGGCCCAGGTCACTCAGTCAAGGCCAACGTTTGAAGCGCGGGCTTCCAGAGCCTGCACCGATATTGCTCCTCCATTTCATGGAGGGGTGTCGTTCGTTCAAGGGTCTTGGCCTGCCCTCATCGCACCTGGTGCTAGACCCAGGCTCTGAGGGCTGGGGCAGGCTGCAGGTAGCTGCCATCACCTGCCTTAGCCAGGTGCCCCTGCCTGGTGGGCAAGCTGCACAGCCGTAGGTGGTAGCTCCAAGTTTAAGTGCATTCATTTCAATGAATTAAACTATGAACTCCTGGGGCCTCCCTCGTGGCACAAGGGGTTAAGACACAACCTAGGAAGCAATCCGCAGCCACTGCAGCCCGAGTTCGATCCCCAGTGAGGGAGCTACCCACATGGTGCAGCAGACCTCTCCTGACTCACCTCCTGCTCCCCTCAGCAGTGTATTTCAGTAGATCTGCCTGTTCTGTCTCTGGTGAATCGTCTCAATTTCCCCCCCATACCTCACACCTCTGGCCTACACCCCACCCCTTGTGTGCATAAATAAATAAACCTTTAACATAAAATAATCTGTGTACTCCTGGCAAAACAGAAAGAGAACCAAGACATTGCTGGCACTTAATGAGACTGTGCCCCAGAACAAAACCAAGCTTGCCTCCAGAAGCTTCTTATAGAATGAGCATCTTGCCATACCAAGCATAAGCTTACATCATCCAGTTCTGGTGTTTAAAGACAGGCACTTTTGCATGAAGCCTCCAACCCAAGCCAACCAGTTCATGCACACAACCAAGGAAGTTCCATTCTTATGCTGTGGTGGGGGGCAGGTTGGGGGGGAACAGCTGTACTGGGATCTGTCTGAGTGGAACAGATTGGGGAACAGGAGGGAACTTGGAGAGGGACATTAGAATCCAAGGTTAGCACTTATCCATCAATGGATAAATGGATAAAGAAATTGTGGAATATATACTCAACAGAATATTACACAACCGTGAAAAAGAGCAAATAGTGGCATTTGGTGCCTTCTTGATGGACTTTCAAGGGTGATTTCGGCTTTCCATGACCCAAGTGTAAATGCTAACGTTGTTGGGTTTTGTGGTTTTATTTTTTTAGTTATTTTTTTGCCTGTTTTTTTAACTTTATTTTTTTAATTTTATTTTCATGTGTGGGGGTTTACATTTTTGCTTGCCCATCTGTACACATGTTCCACTTACCTCTTACCCTCCGCCAAAGTACCTGTGCCAACACTCCCTCTGGTGCCCTTCCCCATGCCACCCTCCCTCTCCCCGTTCCCTCTGGTAACCTTTATATTCTTTCACTGAGTTCAAGATTTATTCCCACTCTGTCATACCTGTGTATGCTTTTTGGTTATTTGTATTCCACAGATGAGTGAAGCCATCCTATATCTGTCTTTCACTTTTTGACTTATTTCACTTAACATAATCACCTTGGGCTCCATTCGCTTTGTCCCAAATGCCACTATTTCCTCTTTTTCACAGTTGTGTAATATTCTGTTGAGTATATATTCCACAATTTCTTTATCCACTTATCCATTGATGGATAAGTGCTAACCTTGGATTCTAATGTCCCTCTCCAAGCTCCCTCCTGTTCCCCAATCTGTCCCACTCAGTGAATTTGTGTTCCCTGAGGGTCCAATGTCCAGTGGTAGGGCAGGTGAGGGGGGGATCCTCATCAGAAGAGTGTCTCAGGAATTCAGGTAATGGATGAAGGAGCATGTGCCAGTCTCAGCTTGACTTTGGCTGAATCACATCAGGGTGACTGGAATACAAGAGTCCCAGAACCCAGTATCACCCCATCTCCAGGTTAATAGAGTCCCTAGCTTCCTTCCTGAGCATACCAGTAAACCCCTGTTTTCACACAGGCCTGCCCCTCCCCAGTCCAAATCTGCCAGAACTTGAGTGTGGGTAGGAGGCAAGACCCAGCCCTGATTGCTACATTGCAGTCACACCTTGGCACTGGGAGCCAGCCTCCTGGGTCCAGGAGAGGATGGAGGATTTCAGAGGATGCACACTAGGGCCCCCAGACCTTGGAGAACACCTAGGGGAAAAGCCTAGAATCTTAGCAAGATAGGGGGTGAAGCGGGGTATTGGGAGGCTGAACGGAGGGCATCCTTTCCTTCCCTGCCAGTGTCACAGTCACACCCAAGCGAGCAGCCACGCTGCCTGGCAGGTCTGGTCCCTTCCTCTGCCACCCACCTTCTGTCCCTGAGTTCCCTTTGCTTAAACTTCTCCCAGGAAGACTTCCTGGATTGGATCCACTCCATTCCACACCCTCCTTCCATTCTGTCATTCACAAATATTTATTTATTTTTAAAGATTTATTTATTTATTTATACAAGCACTGGGTACAGTCAGAAGCGCGGGAGGGTGAGAGAATTCACCAGAGCCAGAGCAGGGAACAGAACAGGCAGGCTGACGAAGAAACACACTGCTGAGGGGAGCAGTGGGCGGCAGGAGAGGTCTGCGCACCATGTGGGACCCTCACCGGCGGCCGGGAATCGAACCGGCGCTGCAGAGGCTGCGGGCAGCTTCACAGCCCAGCGCTCAACCGCTGAACCACCAAGGGAGGCCCTCACAAATATTTATTGAACAACTGCTTTGGTTCTTGGTGGTGGGAATGGAAGATGAATGAGTTCCCTGTCCCACGGAGCTGATGTTCCAGCGGAGGAGAAAGCATAATCTCACAAAAATGAGGACCCAAGACCATTTCAGAGAATGACAAACTGTAAAGAAATTAAAACAGGACGACGATGTAACAGTGACTGGGCAGGTATCCTGGCTTAGGCTGCCTCGGGGAGGGACATTGGAATTTAAACCCAAAGCAGCAAACGCCAACCTTCTGAAGGTCCAGGGTCCCAGAAGGTAACTCAGTTCCTGGGGGCCTGTCTCAGCAGAGCCAGGAGGGCATGGGGGAGGGGAGCCAGGTCGCCCTGAGCAGGCCAGGAGCTGCGATTTTATTCTAGAATGGATAAAAATCTCATGGCTGGTCCTCCTCCCTGGTGGTTATGGGAAAATGGATTTTAGGGTAAAAAGGAAAGTTGCGCTTTCAGGAAGCTGTGTCGGAAGTCCAGGTGGAGAAAGGCCTGACCTGCCCTTTTATCAGCCAGCGCTTTACACAGAGGGCCTGGGCCTGCTTGGGGTGGCACTGTTATAGGACAAGGAAAGGGGCAGCCCAAACCCCCGCAAACCTGCCTATTCTAAATGGGTTCTGCCATCCGCCGCATCAACACAAAACATGAGACTTTAATAGGAAGGAACTTTAATAAAACTAGGAAACAATACAGGAAAGGCAAAGAGTCTAGTTTCTAAATAAAGCACCCAAAGTTACCCGTCTCCTCGTGGGTAAAGGTCCATCCAAATGGGACTGGCCCAGAGCAAGGCCCCAAAGCCTGGCCCAAGTCTAAAGCATCTTCCAGTGGGGACCCACAGAAAAGGGTCACAAACAACCGGACAAGCCCGGAAGGAAAAGAGCAAAATCAACATCAAGATAAAAGCTGCCATGGTCACCTCCCCACGGGTCTCACCCACATCTGTGTCACCCCGTCCACGACCAAAAGACAAGCGCAGTTTCTTCACGTGTCTCTAGGCTCCATGCGCCTCCTCCAGGTCTCCTGGCTCCATCCTGCTTCCTTCCTCAGTCTCTTCTGCAGCTTCTCCTCTTCCTGCTCAGCTCCACCCTCACTTGGGTGGGGCAGGGAACCTCCCCCTTTCCTGGGACCACCCTGTTACAGCACTTCCAACTTGAAAGGGGGGAGCTCAGCCTTTGGGCCGGGAGTGCCCCAGGAATCCAGAACCACGTCGACCCCTTTCAGCTTCTCCCTCCATCCCTCATCGGCTGGCTGGTGGAGATGTGAGTTTCAGCTATTTCTGCTGCCTCCCCAGGAGAAGGGGCCGCAGAACATAGGAGTCATCCTCTTTCTCTCGCTGGCCCAGGTTTCTTGTATTTCTTTATCAACTGTTTGAATCCTGCCCAAGCCAGACCTGTGCCCCAGAGGCCCTGGGAGTGAACAATGGCCTAGGCCTGGGGGTGGAACAATCGCCCTGGCAGACAGGGGTCATTGCCCAGGGGATCCTGCAGTCTCAGACGAGTCACTTGGGCTGGGAGCACATTTCACATCCTCTTTTCCTTCCTTGGTGCTGTACAGGGATGTCGGAGATGTGGGGTTCCTTAATTTGAGCAAACTGTAGGGCTTGCTGGGACTCTGGCACAGACTCTTTTATTTATTTATTTTTTTAAGATTTATTTATTTATTTATACAAGAACCGGGGTACAGGCCAGATGTGCGGGAGGGTGAGAGGATTCACCAGAGACAGAGCGGGGAACAGAACAGGCAGATCTGAAATACACTGCTGAGAGGAGCAGCGGGCGAGACAGAAGAGGTCTGCCTCGCCATGTGGGACCCTCGCTGGCGGGCCGGCCTGGATCAAACCGGCACTGTGGACAGCTTCACTGTGCGGTGCTCAACCACCTGCGCCACCAGGGGAGGCCCACTGGCAGAGACTCTTAACTGCCAACGCTGCTCCCCTGTCCCAGGGGCTCCCGGCTAATGACAAACCTGGCCCCTTGGCATATTATGCAGGAGAGTCCCTTCTCCTGGAGTCATAGAGCACCTATGTATGACATTCTGGGTGTGAGCCTAACCTACCCCACCCCCCAACTTCCTAAACATGTCACCCAACCCTCCGCAACCCAACCTTCATCCACAATTGGGTGCATTTACCAGGCCAAGGCTCTTTCTCCACCTGTGCCTCCCTCCCAGTCCCTGCCTGCTCCTTTGAAAGGCCTCTTGACTTCCCACCTCCTGATTTCAATAGCTGCCTGTTGCTTTTTCAGACCATCTACCCACTCACCGCTGACCACCTCGAGTGCTGCAAGTCCATTATATAGATCTCAGTTGGGCAAAGATTGTTTTTTACACATGGAGAAGAACGAGGCGAAGAACGATCCGCCAGCTACTTCATGTCAGGACAAGCCAGGTCTTACCCTCTCAGCCCCCCATTGTTTATGTCACTCCCAGGAGGGAAAGAGATTATTATATACCTTCAACCACCCCCCCCCACCTCCAGATCCAGGCCATCAGTGTGGTGTTAAAGGACAAAATTCGGGCCTCACTGGTAGCCTAGGGGTTAAGTCTCAGCGCTGTCACCACTACAGCCTATGTTCGATCCCCAGCCAGGGAGCTACCCGCATGGCGCAGCAGACCTCTCCTCTCTCCCCCACTGCTCCCCTTAGCAGTGTATTTCAGTGGATCGGCCTGTTCTTCTCCCCACTCTGTCTCTGGTGAATCCTCTCACCCCCAGCACCTCTGACCTGTACCCCAGTTCTTCTACACAAAATAAATAAAATTTAAAAAAAAAATAAAAATAAAGGACAAAATTTGAGACATTCGCAGGGAAACAAGATTTATGTTTTATTTCCGCAGAGAAATGCAAAAGTAGGAGGCTCCTGAAGAATCGTCACCATGGCTTCAGGTCACAAAATGGAGCATGTGAAGAAAGTGGCTGGTTTGCCCAAAGAGCCCAATGGTAGTGAAGACACTGCCGCGGAGCAGGGAGGAGCAAGGGGGAGGCAGACCAGGCCCCATCTTAGAAAAAGCAGGTGTCGGCACCCACACCAGGTGGCACCGGGGCTGAAGGGCACAGCTAGGCTCGCTACAGGGGATGCTGCCCAGGGCCTCGGTCCCCAGTGGACGTCATTTTCTAGAAGAAAAGAGAAGGGCAGATGGTAGAATGCAGTCACTCCTGAGTTGGCACCAGGTGACAAGGAACCCCACACTCCCTGTGTCCTCGTTTCTCAGCAGACCCCCCTCACTTATCTCCTCCTTAAAACAAATCCAGCAGCTCTGCCAAAGGAGTCTGCTACCTCTTTCCCACTGGGACACCCATCTTCCTTCCTCTGAGCCTTTACATCTGAAAGGTCTGCCTCTCCCCAGCCCCAGCACCCTCATTTCTTAGTCTAGTGCCATCTTCTAGTCTAGTGTCCCTGCGGGATCCCCCCTCTGACAGGCCTTCACTCAGCACTCAGAAGGTGCTTTCCGAGTAGACCATTCCTTCCCCTCTCTCTCTATACCCACACTGGGGTTTTCTTCCCCTTAAAACCTTTAGCGCATCTGCGCACCACAATGGCAATACCAGGACCCCAGCCCTGTCCCCCAGGGGTGACTAGGCCTCAGTTCCTGGATGCAGCCATGCAGGGCTCCATCTGACACTTACCTACCAAAACTTCACACACTGCAAGAGGTCAGGTTGTGCCCGGGAAGCCTGCAGGATAAGGAGAAAGCTGGATGGACATGGCACTGCCCCTACTCACCTTCTGGCTTCAGAACTCTTTGCTCAGGAGCTGGGTTTTCTCGGCCCCAATACTTACTGAGGAATGTGAGGGAAGAGCTGGTTGGTTTTCCACCTGCAGAGAGAAGGTGAGATTAGAGGTGATGTAGGGGGTGCCAGGACCTCCCTGTACCCTGCCCTGAACTCAGGGTTCGGGAAGGGCCTGTGGCAGGGGCAGGCTCAGACCAGGACATGATCTCAGGGAACCTGTGGTGGAACTGTGGACATTCTGCCTTTGGAATATTGTTTTTCCATAGCAGACTTAACATCTGAGTACATTTTACCCAAGATGCTTTTGACCGTGGGGAGCGGAAAGAGGTTAGGAAGGTCTCCTCCCTCTGCCCGCCAGGTGGTCGGAAATTGGCTAAGTGGATACCCACAGTTAGTCTTAACAGCATCTTCACCTCCTTTCAGTCAGCGGACAGTGTCTCAGGAGAAGTCCTCTCCCCGAGGGCAGGGGCTTTATTGTTCTGAGAGATGGAGGGAAATACCTGTATTTCTTCACCAGTCTAATAAATATTCAGCACATGCATTTACTGAATTGATAAGGTTGCTCTTTGCCACTGAACGAAACAAAATTCTCACATTTTTTCCGTTATTTTCATAAAGGGGTGAAGTGTTTATTTTCCCACCAACCAAGAGTTCGTGACTGGGCTAGATTCCCCTCAGTGCCAATGTGTCCCCTGCCCCACCCCCGCCCCCACCAGGCCAGCCCTGGAGCTGAGTGACTGGACAGAGAAAGGCTGCTCTGGCATGTGTCCTGTGATTGCCTGGGAGCTGCTCATCCTCTTTGAGAGGCTACTGTTCCCCATTTTCTCCGAGGCATGTGATATAGCCACTGCCCCCGGGTAACCTTTCCTGGTGGCTGGGTGCAGCCTTCTACCCTCAGGGAGCCCGAGTGTCTTCATACAAAAGGCTGGAGAGGCCAGACTTTCCTCAGCAATGGGTTGGGGCTTCCGCTAACCTTCCTCAAGGAGCCTGGGGGGCGAAGTCTTCCTCCCTCACCCCCCTGTGGAGGCCCTGCTAGAGAACCAGTTGCAAGCTGCTGGGAGCTGCAACCTTGGAGCTGCTATCCTGTGCCCCAAGGGGCTTGGCGTTCTCCTGCTGGTTGTGATTATAGTTCTGTGGAAGCCAGCAGGGGTGCATGGGGTGGAGGAGGGGGGCAGGGGAGAAGGGATGAAGATTTTTTGCTCTAGAATAAACATCCCTCCTCCTGCCCTGGCTGGGGCTCTCTGGAAGCCCCTGCCTTCTCCCTTCCTGTGTCTTGTGTTTTCTAGAATCTCCTTTCTAGGTCAACCCTCCCCTCACCCCATGGTCCTAGCCCAAATGCCCCTGCCTCCTCCTCCCCTCAGTGCCCTCCAGGGTTCTCTGGGAGGGGAGGGTGGAAGGCCAAGAAAAGAAGGGGCTTCTGGGTGTCGATTCACTTACCGTTGAAGTCACGTGTGCATCATTGTCCAATGGCGAGTCATCCTGAGGAAAGAGGGAACAGAATTGTGAAGGAGAGAGCATTTCAGGTTGGCCCAGACCCAGGAACAAGGCAGAGAGGCACCAAAGGCCTTCAAGGGCAGTCTGAGGGCAGGGAGACTCACATCATCAGAACCGCTTGACCGCTTCTGGAGCGATGCCGCCTCAGCACCCTGGAGGGAGAGGGAGCCGCGTTAGGGTGTCCCCAAGGTCCGTCAGGCCTGGCCAGGCTTGCGAGGCTCCAGCACCCTGCAGCCTGGGCTCTGCCCGCCCATCTGCCCACCCTCCCTGTCCACGGTCCGTGATCAGCACGGCCTCCAGAGAAGGCAGTGAGGAAACTGATGGCCCAGATAGATACGGGACACGTTTCCACACTTGGTGTTGGTGACGGGAGGCGACAGTAGAGGACAGGCTTTGGCAATGCCACCCCCACCCATGCACCTGGCAGCGCTGGCCTGAGAGTGAGCTGGAATGATAGGCAGGTGCTGCCCACACGAGCTCCCCTAGGGCACAGCAGTGCAGTCCAGACAGCGCCCATGGCTCGCCCACGCTAGGATCTGCTCCCCTCACAGGCCCTTCAACCCTGATCACAAATGCTGCTCTCTACAGGGCCCCTGGAAGGAAAGTGTTCCCCAGAGAGGCTAAGAGGAGTATGTTAGGTTAGCTCTGGGTTAAAGGGGAGAAATAGGAGAAAGCAGAGGAAGCTGCTGACTTCGCTCCACTGAGACACAGCTGCCTTGACCCCCATCAAGGCCAGGGGACAATGCTAAGTCCTAGGGAAGACTTAGTTCCTAAGTTTAGTTTGTGCCACCATCCCTGCTAGAAACTCCAGGGTTGACTAACCTCTTCTCCACACCTGACACTGAATTTTAACCCCACATTAACTCTAGCACATTGGTGGCCAACTGGCTGGTCACCAGCTGCTCCTCGATTTTGGCCACGGTCTGCACTTTTAATTACAGTAATTGAGAACAATTAAAAATCTGATTTCTAGATTGTCCTGAGGAATTGAGAAGCATGCAGCGCAGAACACTCAGCTGGAAGGGCAGGTCTGCCGTTGCATGGCCCACCCGCCCAGGATCAAATGAGTGAGCAGCCACCCCTGCTTTGGCGCCCAAGATGACCTGTTCCCAAAGGTGACCGGCCATGTAGATTCAAGGCCTGCTGTTAAGTGTGACCCAGAGGTCCTGCCCATGCTTCCCAGAACCAGCTATTCGGACCCTCTGTCCCTGCCTGACCTTGACCATGGCTTTCCCACATATACTTTCCTCCTGTTTTCTTTCAGTTTTCCCTCCAAAGCCCCTTCTCCCCACCTCAAGGTGCCCTCCACCTGCCCACCCTGCAGTACCCACCCAGCTGTGGCTTCCCCCGATCCAGGCCATGCCCAGCAGGAGCAGCAGCAGAACAGAGACGGTAGCTGGCTTCATGTTCGGTGCCTGTGAAGCTGCTGGCTCTCTTAGGCCCACCCCTTGACCACTGGCTTTTATCCTGGAAGGACCTCCCACCCCACTACTCCAGCGCCTCGCCTCGCAGCATTGCATAAGGGGAAGCAAGTGGGATGGGAGGGAGCCACCTGCGCTTGAGAGACAGAACGCTCAAGCCACTCCAAGGGCCCAGAACCCCATGGCTCTGGCACTGAGCCTCCTGACCCCAAAACAAGAGGTCATGCCCCGCCCCCCCCCCCTTACCTGAGTAATTTCTTTCCAGTTCAAGAAAGGAGTGTTGTGTTTGAAATCCTGGAGAGAGAAGGAGCCTTGAGTGTGCCAGGGGAGACAAGGCAGGGGTTGGGGGTGCAGGAGCTTCTTGGGAATGTTTCAAGGTCTTGTGAAAGAACAGGCCATGGAGGCAGGTGTGGTTTGGCATTAGAGGACTTTGAGATGGTATTGATGATAAGATGTGGGTGTGATTACCATCTCAAAAATAAAAGGGGGACTCCGTGACTGGTAGGCTGGCATTGAGGGTGGCCACTTTGAGGGAGGTGTGGGGAGGGATAGGATGACCAGAGTCACCAGGGCTTCCAAAAATCAGAAAGTGAGACTTCTCCTACCTCCCAGAGTCGGCTGAAGTACAGGAGGGCTCGCGTGCTGGGGGGTGGGGCATGGCCCTATGGATGGAAAGTGGGGCACAGGTTAGCCTGGAACATGACCCCCTGCTCTCCTGAACCCCCAGGCCTGCCTCCACCATTTCTCAACCTTCAGAATTGTATTGCAACGAAGGTTTGAATGGAAACTGGCTGCCTTGCAGATACCTGAAAACTGTCTTTGGAAAAAGAAGGGAAAAGAGACTTGAACTCTGGAGCCATCGCCTCCCTCTGCCCACGCATTCGAGGGGCTCCTCTCTCTCCCAGTTTCCCCAGAACTGACAGAATACAACTGCAGCCAAACCTCAGGACCATGACCCTCCCCTGAGCTGCCCAGCTTCACCCCTGCGTTGCTACCTCCAGCCCATCTCCCAAGGCTGTGGGGTAAAGTCACCCCTTGCACACCCCCTGGAGTCATAAGTAAGGAGCAGTGGCCAGGAGGGTGGGGCAGGGAAGGTTTATTTCAAGGGCCAGTGTTGAAATTAGTAATGAGATGGGGCTTGTTAGGAAGGGGTGAGGGATCCCTATGCATCTGGCAGTTCCTTGTCTGGGGGTCACAGAAAGCACAAGCTCCTCTGGTCCTGGACAAAGTTCCAAGAGGGCGCTCAAGGACTGGGAACTCAGGAGGAATAGACTGTGTGTGGCCAGGGCAGAATGGACCCAGTGCTCCAGAAATCTGCAAGGGACCTTTTGGCCTAGGGTTGCCATCCAGTCAAATCCAGATATTCCAATTTGGGTTTGAATGCCCTTGGACTTGTCAGGTCTTCATGCCCCCCCCCCCATGAGCTAGTCCTCGGCACTCCTATCCCCCTGCTGAGAAGACGCTGGGGCTGTCCATTCTCTTCTTTGCCTTTCTCTGTCCTGTCCCTCTTGTCTGCTTCCAAAGGGGAAGCCACCCCAAGGGGAATCCTGCCTAACCAGGAACCCCCTCTTTACAGCCCCCTAGGGGTGCAGAAACCTTTGGAGGTCTGTCCTGGCCCCATGGGAAGTGCCTGTGTATGCCTCAGTTCCCCTAACAGACCTGCAGTTCCTCATGGTCTCCCCACTCACTGGCTGCAGACTGTTTACTATAACACAAAACCTGTCTCTCATCCATTCAGTTCATCTAAATAGAACTCCCACTCCAGCTGCGTCACCCCTCTTTCACACCCCACCTTATTCCCAAAAGGACAGGCTTCCTCTCTCCTGAAATCTGGGCTGACTCTGCCCCACAGCCCATCGCAAGCTCTTGTCCTCCATAAAGACCACAGATGTGCCGTGGCCCTAATTCTCCCGCTCGACTCAGCAGCTGCCAGGGCCAGGCTGGCATAGATGCTTCTTTGCCCCAGGGCCAAGCTCCATGGCAGCCAATCCAGCCAGCCTGGGAAGGCGGTGGGAGGGACCCCGTGTTGCCAGATTTTTCAAGAGAAGTCAGAATTCCAAGTCCTTTTGAGGCTTTTTAAATCTCGGTAACTAGTTCATATTGTTAAACCGTGTCACACACTCTGTGAGCAGCCAACTATGGCTGCCGCCCTCGGCCTGGTGGTCTGCCCTCATCTCCTCCTTCCAGCCCAGCCTCCACCCTGAAGGCGCAGCTGCCAGTCTGTCTAGGAGTTCCCCCTTCAGAAGAAGGGGTGGGCACGAAGGAAGGAAAAAGGGGTTCTGCTCACTCCCCCCCCCATCTCCTAGGGGCTTGTCTGCACAGCGCCCACTACTGCCTGGCTTCCATCCCCCTGCTCTCTCTGTGCCAATCCACCTGAGTGTCATTTGCCCCATACCCCTAAGGATTAGGCCTGCTGGGCCTCCCCAGTGGCGCAGCGGTTGAGCGCTGGGTTGCGAAGCTGCCCACAGCCTCTGCAGCGCTGGTTGGATCCCCGGCCGCCAGTGAGTGTCCCACATGGCGCACAGATCTCTCCTGCCGCGCCCGCTGCTCCCCTCAGCAGTGTGCTTCGGTCCTTCTGCCTGTTCTGCTCCCCGCTCTGGCTCTGGTGAATTCTCTCACCCTCCCGCGCTTCTGACTGTACCCAGTGCTTGTGTAAATAAATAAATAAATCTTTTTTTTTTTAAAAAAAAAAAAAGGGATTAGACCTGCTTACTCCCCCCGAACCTTCCAGGTCTGGAAGGGGAAACTGAGGGTCAGGCCTGCTCAGGTCTGCATGTTGAGGCATGAACATGTCTCACCCCGAATTCCCAGCCACTTCAAAATTCTCCCTCTCTTCTCAGGCCCCTGCTGTCCTTCCTCCTGTTTTTGTCTTTTAACTGAATAAGCCCGGGCCAAAAAGTTCTCTTAGCAGCCACCATTCCCTTCTTCCCAGCTCACCGAGCAGAGGACTAGCTTTGTTTATCGGCATGGCTTGGCCTTCCAGCCCTTACCTTGTTGATGGCATCCCAGTTAATAAAGCCCAATTTGGATTTGAAATTCTGCAGAGAAACCAAAAAAAAGGAGAATGACCAAGTGGGCTCCTCAGTAAGTTGGCGCAGGGTCTCAGGACGAGCGAGAGCAAGGCCCCCGCTGACGGCTGTTATAGAAAGACACCGTCAGCCTGTGCATGTCAGGGGCAAGGGATTAGTTTTCCAAAAGAGGGAGCAGAGTGATCTGGCAGAACTCACATTCCAGAAAGTGTCCAAGTTGAAGAGCCCAGGAGCTGTCTGCGAATTCTAAAGAATCAGAGACGGAGAACTCACTCGGTGATCAAGAGTCAGGGCAAGTGATGTGGCGGCAAGACAGGCAGGGGTTGCTGGCCACCATGGCGCCTGTCCCGGATGGAGTGATGCTCTACTCACCAAGGTATTTAATCCATTGGCAGCTTCACTTCCTCCACCATACCCTTGTCCCTGTCCCTGGGCAACGAGGAAGACAGAAATTCAAGGCACATGCATCCTGCCCCACATGCCAACCATCAACTGGCTCCTGCCCCACTCATCTTGGCCTTTGTGCAGGCTCTGCGTGCTCTCTGTAAAGCCGCCTTCTCTTCTTTGCACAGCACCTAAGAGCCCCACCTCCAGGAAGCCTTCCTGGAATGACTTGGCACTTGCCTCTCGGAATAACCCTACCCCAGTCCCTTAAATCGTATTCATATTCTTGCTTCACCCCATACCCTGCCCCCCCAAACATGGCTACTAATGTGTAGTCCCACTGTGTGCCAAGCACTGTGCTTAGCCTGCTGCATGCATGCATGCATGGAAAAGTCTCCACTGTACGGGTGAGGAGATTGAAACACAGCTGTCTAGCAGCTTCCTCAGGATCTGTCTCTACATCGGATTCTGGTGTCTGAACCCCCTTGTTTGGGTTGTGATACAGAAAACTCAGCAGCCGTTGAGGACAGTAAGCGAGTTAGGATTCGCTGTCCCCGTTCCGAGGGGAAGCCCAGACTCAGCCAGGTCAGCTGACTGCCTGAAGACAGCTGGCATTTGACCCCCGATCTTCCAAGCCAAAGTGCACTGCCTTTCCCCTTCTCAGCTCTACCTTCTTAATTAAGTACAGCTATTTAAAAAGTCTCCCCGAGCCATTCTTCTGGTTTTTTTGTCTGTTTTTCCCCCTCACAGAAAAGTCATGTTCAGTTCCTTCACCCAGTTGGAAGAAAATGAATGAATCAAAGAGGGTTCGGGGATCCCTGACCCAGAGCCAGACCAGGGGATCGCATGACACAGAATTAGCAGCCACAGGAAAGTGACATCTCTGCTTCTCTGCCAGTCCCAGCTTGTTCTGCCCCCACCCCCACACACACCCATAGCCCCTTCTAAAGCCATCCCTGCTCACCTGGTAGTTGCCTTGGGGGCCCCCAACAAAGCGATTGCTTATTTCCTGGGGAGACAAAAAATGGAGCAGAGTCAGTGGGGAGGAAGGCAGGCAGGACTCAGGATAAGCAGCACATGTGGAGGGAGACTTCCCAGGAGCCCCAGAGAGACCCTCATCACAGGTGGCTACATCTTCCCTGGCAAGCTCTTGTGGGTCGGGTTATTGTCCACTCATGACGGTTATTGGTAACATAACCCTCTCTGTTTATGTTCATTTCTGCAAGCTGCCCAAAGCCCAACAGGAAGGGGTTGGCCGCCAAAATATCTGAACCCCCACCCTGGTTTTGAGATAGGAACCTGCCAGCTGGTTCTACTGAATTGATTCAAATTGCAGGGCCCAACCTGGGTTGATGTTTTGCATTAGGCAGAAAGGGGGCGCTAGCTGAAGCTTGTGGGAGCTGAGGAGGCACAGCAGGAGTTCCCTAAGATAGAAATAGGATCCTCTGGGGCCTCCCTGGTGGCGCAAGGGGTTAAGCACCACACTATGAAGAAATCCGCAGTCTCTGCAACACCAGTTTGATCCCTGGCCCCGGCTGGCAGACCTCTCCTGTCTCACCCGCTGCTCCCCTCAGCAGCGTATTTCAGTCAGTCTGCCTGTTCTGCTCCCCACTTTGTCTCTGGTGAATCCTCTCACAGCCCCCCACCTCTGGCCTGTACCCCAGCTCTTGTATGCATAAAATAAATAAATCTTTGGGAAAAAAAAAAAAAAAGAAATAGGATCCTCTTCTCATTAGTTCCAGTAGTGTGCAGAGACATAGTGCAGGGGAGGAGGCGGGAGAGGGATCAGAGGGAGAGGGAGGAGCACAGGGGACTGCGGTGATGGTGCACGGGTACATTGGTGAAGGAAATTCTATGGGGACTCCACCTGAGGGGGTGGGGGGAAGCAAATATTGTTTAAAAATGAACAATGATGTAAAAAAATTAAAAAGTTAATATAAAAAATTTTAATGTTCCAAAAGGATACTATCATGCCTAATATAAGAGTAGGGAGTACAATTATTTTGAGCTTACAGTGCATAAATAAAATAAACAAATGGAAACATGAAAAAAAAAACAAATGAAAAAATACAAATGGTCCTTAAAAAAAAAAATAAAAAAGAAATAGGATCCTCTCAAGTCCTGCTTTCATTATTTGGTATGAATCCCAGGCCATCAGTGCCTCCTCATTTCCAGAGCTAAAACACAGACCAGGCTGGGATGTGAGATTGCTGCTGGGTTAGTATTGCTACTGCCAACCTCATCCCAGTGCAGACACAGCCTCCACTCTAAGGTCTGTGTTCTCCTTACCCTGATGTCGCCAGAGCCACTGGGGCCTCCTGGTCCTCCTCTGAAGCCCTGAGGATTGTATCCCTGAGGAATGAGAGAGTAAAACACAGATCATTCCTTTAGGCTCATCCCTAAAATGTGTATAAACATTTGATGCTATTCCTCTAACAATTCTAATGGAATTCTCTTTTCAACTTGTCAAAATTATCCTGAAGTTTATTTGGAAGAATAAATTCTAATAATAGGTGCAAAGACACTGCAGAAGAGTAGCAGCCAGGGAGTACTTGTACTGGCAAATGTGAATAGACTATGAAGCTACCATGAATAAAACAGCATGGCACCTGTCCCAGAATAGATCACTTAAACAAAAGACGACCCTTAGCATCTCTCTCAAAATATTAAGACATCGACAAGGGACACTTTAAAGTAGTAGTGGAAATGAGTCAATACACAGGGCTGTAAGTATTGGGGGGAAAGTGTGGATGTAGTTAGATGTTAATACTTTTTTCTCCTCTGTTTATATCTGGTTTATATCTGGTTTCCCCTCTGTAAGGGGTCACATGCTTCTGATCCAAGATGTGAGTAAATCTAGTGGAATCGAGGAGTGGAGCTAGACAATATAGCGGCAAAAAATAAATAAAATAAAAATCCATTGGGTTAAAGAGTTAAATTGAACATATGAAATTATAGAAGTAATAGTAGTGCTGGAGGTAAAGAAAGACGTTTATATTTCCAAAGCAGAAATCACAGAGTAAAAGGCTGATTTCTCTGATCATGTATTTAAGGCTCGCTGTGTATAGAAAACTGGAGAACTACCAACTGGGAGAAATTTTCTTTCTTTCTTTTTTGTTTTAATGTTCTAAAGTTTTCTTTTTTGTGTTTTTAAACATCTTTACTTTGTCACAATGAGAAATTTTCTTAAAAGCAATATACCCATACAAGGCTAGTACCCTGAGCTGTGAGGAGCTCCACAGCGAGCCTTCTCAATGCAGCACCCCCACCCACCTGCCTGGCTCTCCATCAGGCCTGGCCCTGCACCATGCAGTCCACACTCAGGTCAGAGCGTCAGCCAGCCTCACCCGGGAGCTTATGAGAAACCAGAATCTCAGCCCCACCCAGGCCTGCTGAATCAGAACCTGCATTTTCACAAGACCTCTAGGTGATTCGTGTGCACGTTAGCGTAACATTTCCTCTGTCAGCGCTGTGGGTGCTGACATTTCCAGAAGAACTAGGAGGACATGTAGACTTTCAAAACCCTCTTTCAAAACTCTGACAAAGAGGTCTGGGGCCTCCTCCCTGGTGGCTCAGGGGTTAAAGAAGTCTCAGTGGTATCAAGCTATCTATTGCCAGCCACTGCGGCATGAGTTCGATGCCTGGCAAGAGAGCTGACCCACATGGCGCAGCAGACCTCTTCTGTCTCGCCCACTGCTCAACAGTGTATTTCAGCAGATCTGCCTGTTCTGCTCCCCACTCTGTCTCTGGTGAATCCTCTCACCCGCCGCCCCACACACACACACAACTCTGGTCTACACTCCAGTTCTTGTATGCATAAATAAAAATAAATCTTTTTTTTTTTAAAAAAGAGGTCACCAGAGGTCACCATACTAGTTTAATGCCAAGTGTGGAAACTTTGAAACCATGTTTCTTAAAGGACTGGTTTTCATGTGATTTTTCACATTCTCATCTGTGGTATAAAGCCAGGTCTACTGCATAGGATTTGCAATTAATTATTATTTAGGAAGCAGTATTTCCCTCTGCGGAAGTCATGGGGTTTCTTCACCCTAAAATTGCAAATGCCCTATGGATGGGGTGAGTGTTAGGAATAGGGTGGAGAGTGGGTGCGGCTCTCACCTGGCCCCCAGATCCTGCGGACACGCGCACCTCATTCCCTGAGTTTTCACACTGTGAGAGAAAAGAAGTTTCTCAGTCTCCACCCAGATACCACTGCCAGTCCCCAAACCCTGGCAGTGCCAACCTGGGGGTGGCCCACATCCCCTCCACCCCAGCAGCAGTCCAACCCCATTCTCAGCCCCAACTGGCCCTCTCCCATAATCAGAGGGGCCTCAAGTCATCTTTCTTCCCCAGTTTGAGGGGAATCTGAACAGACGTGTGTCCCCCGCAGGCACTTACCCCGGGTATGTTTCCACCACCATTTCCACCTCTGCCACCGGAGGAAGAGCCAGAGTTGGGGCCCTGAGAGGAAAGCAAGATTTGGGGTCCAAATCTTTCCCAACAGAATTAAGATTTTTTTTAGCCTCCACCCTCCAACCTTCAAACCTTCCCCCAGTGGGTCACTGAGGGAAGTTATTCCGAGCACAGAGAAGCCAGGTGTGGCCAAGGGTATTTGGAAATGGGAGGTGGTTCACGCATTCTGGGCTGTTGCCCCCCACCCGCCACTGTGTGCCAGGGGTAGAAAGACCTCCAGAGTCCCGCCTGCATCTTGACCTTGGCACCTGTGGCAGGTGGGGGCTCCTTCTGCCCTCTCCTGCCTCGCCTCTCCCCTCGCCCTCTCCTGGAATCTAGGAAGGGGAAGGGAACCCTAGAATCCTTACCTGGGAGTCTGCATAGCTGCCTTGATCAAAATTCCTAGAATTGTCTAAGGGTCGGTCCTAGGCGGGATGGTGGGGCGCGGGGAGCACAAGGAGCAATAAATGAAAGCAATCGATGTCACCTGGCTGGGCCCCGCATCTCTCTGACTCCTTCCCATCGCCCCAGGAAGCCAGGTGTGCCCCCTCATCCTGCTGCCAGGCCGGGTTCCCTCCTGGCCCTCCTGCCACGGTGGGGGTTCGTGTGCATCATCGCCATCTGCGCCCCAGCTTGTAAACAGCCTAAAGCCTGCTCACGTGCAGCCCTGCCCTGTGCTCCCCAGACCTTCCCAAACAAGCATCCTATTTTCCTGCGCCACCTCCCTTCTTTCGTCTGCCAGCCCCGGCGCTAAGCAGACTCCCCAAGTGGACCTGGCTGCACGAATACAGGTTAGAAAGGCACCCCCACCGTCGCCGTGGGAAGAGAAGGGAAAAGAGTGAGGAGAAGCAGAAGAATTTTCTCCTGGAAAAATCGGAGTGCGAGTGTCAGGAGACCACTGGCCTGAGGCTGGGAAGGTGGGGGCAGAAGCTGAGGGAACCCCAGGATGGCAACTCTGCTAATGCCACCACCCTCCTGAGGCTGCCACCTCCCTCCTGGAGGACCCCGTGGGCCTCAGTCCTGACTCTGCCTTCACAGAAGGAGCAGAACTCACCCAGCTGGACCCAGAGCTGCCGCCATTGCTGTTGCTGCCACTATTGCTGCCACCATTGCTGCCACTATTGCTGCCACCATTGCTGCCACTATTGCTGCCACTATTGCTGCCACCATTACTGCCACTATTGCTGCCACCATTGTTGCCGCTGTCGCTGCCACCTCCATTGCCATTGCTGCCGCCATTTTCCCTGGTTCCCTGAGGAGCAGGAAGAGACCAGAGCAAGGATTAAGGATTAGAACTCCAAGATTGGTCCCCTCCCACCCTGAGCCCTCCCTGTCTTATTCCAGCATATTCCCTGCCCAGCTTTAGAAGATTCTCTATACCGTCCCTGGGCAAAGTGCCCTGGGTTGTCCATCCCCTTACCCACGAGTTGCCAGAGCTGCCACCGGAGCCGGACGGCGGGGGGTTGGTGCACTGTGGAGGGAAGGGATGAGATGAGCCAATGCCAGGAGCCATGCTCTGCTGCTCCTCAGGGGTGGCTGGGTCTTATCTGCCCCCCAAACCCTCCCCACCTCCCCATGCCCATCTCCCCACATCCAGTCACCTCCTGCCTTCCCTCTGGGTCTCCTGAGCGCTAGCACGACCCCGACTGCCTCTCTTCCACTGGCTCATCCTCTTACCTCTGAATTGGGGTTGTTGTTGCCTCTCATTGAGCCATAACCAGGCTGGGCCACGGCTCCCTGCAGGGAGGGTGAGACAGCGTATGGGATCAGGGAGGATGACAGAGGCGTGGAGAATCCGGCTTGAATGGAGGGAGGCGGCAGCTGTCAGGGCTGGGTGGTCACTGTACCTGAGGGTTCGTCCCCATGTTGTACGGTCCTCCGTTGCCTCCTGGACCCCAGGGTCGTCCCTGAGAGTTGCCTCCATAGCTGCCGTCGGAGCCTGCAAAGTGCCCCTGGGCCCAGGGGGTTCCTGGCCCTCCAGGATTGCCCTGGTTGTAGCCTCCAGCACCGTTGAGGCCACCCTGATAGCCGTGGCCCCCGGATGTCCCCTGCAAGGACATGCCCACCCTTAGTGTGTGTGGTGACAGCGGTGGGCAGGCCAGCAGCCGAGAGAGAGAGGAGTCAGAGGCGGACGCAGCAAGAGGCAGGGAGAGAGACCCCGGGGTGGTGGAGGAAGATGCATCACACAACAGGAGACAGCCCCAGGCGGCCACAAGGAAGAGCCCTTTCATCCTCTCAGCTGCTGCCCGGGATTCTCTGCCCAGCAGCCGCAACCTCCACACCCGCTTCCCAGCCACACTCACCCAGCCACCGTTGGTGCCAGGCACCCCCTGCCAAGAGCCGTGGACAGCATCCATTCCTTGTCGAAGGATGTTCTCAGCCTGCCTGCCAGCCTCATTCCCGGCGTTTCCAATAGCGTGGGCTGCTTCCTCCACCCCACGGTAGACGGCCTCCCCCACCCCAGGCCCCACGGGCCCCCCGGGGCCCCCGATTCCAGAACCGGCTGCCCCTCCAGCCCCTTGTCCCAGGGCCTCCCCGACACCTGCTCCAGCTCTCCCCACTCCATTCAGCAGTGGGCCAGCCTTCCCACTGCCCAGGCACAGGGCCAGCAGGAGACAGGCCAGGGACCCCTGTAGCTTCATCTCTGGCTGCTCCCCTCTCTCTCCTGAGTGTCTGCTCCCCTCCAAGTCTACTTCTCTGTGTCCCTCTCTCAGCGTCTGCACGCCCTCCTGTGCCCACTTCTCCTTCTGACTTCTTCTCCCTTCCCTCTAGGTCTGCAGGCTTCTCCCTCCTTTCCCAGACTCCCCTGCCTTCCCAGAGTCCTCCTCCTGCCCCTACTCCTTATACTGCAGCTTGAGAGAAGGTGGCAGGGCTGGGCAGCGCAGGATCCCTCCCCCTAGTGACTCAAAGCCAGCCACGATAGGGTAATGAGCTGTAATTGTGAGTTTGAGAGTTTGTGTTGAAACAGAGAGAGAGTCCATGCATCAGGGAGGGAGGGAGGGAGAAATGGAACGAGACTGCTGCAAAAGGATTCCGATTTCCTAACCCCAGGAATTTGGGCCACAGGGTGGAGGTGGGGGCATCTGAGGAGATAGGCTCACCTGTATCTCCTGGGAGCTCTGGGGCAGAGGCACCTCAGAGAGAGGGGTCGCAGGTAGAACCCCCTCCGAGGAACAGGGTAGGCCACCCCAGAAACAGGACAGCAATCAGCCTGGGGGGCTGGAGGGGGCCCGGGATGAGACATAGGCACCCTTTCTCGAATTTTCTCTCAATGTCAGTGGCCCTTTTCTGCCTCCCCACCCCACCCTCCACACGGAGCTACCTAAAGCTGAGGGTCCTCACTTCTTCCACCCCTGGCAACCCACAGAGAGAGTCTGGGAACCGTGGGAAGCCCTCAGTGGGACCCCGGGCTTTGAGGCCACCACCCCGAGAATGGTCATCAGGGCGTCTCAGTTAGAATTCAGGCTGGGTGCGGAGCAGGGGAGCTGAGCCAGTCAGCCTCCCCCAGGGAATGAGTGGGAGGGAGAGACCTAGGGAGGGAGCAGCTGACCCAGGCATCCTGTTTACCATCCTACAGCCTCCTGAGACCACACCAGCCGACCCCACCCAGGCCCTGGCTGTTCCCAAGCCCTGGTGAGGCTTGGGAGGAGGGACTGAGGGAGGAGGGGTCAGCATTGGGCACCTAGGTCAGCCACATGCCCGCTCCCCACCCACTGCCCACTTCAGGGTGCAGATCTCGAGGTGCTCCCTGCATCTCCCATCCCTGCTGTGCAAGAGGGCCGCTTCTCCACTCCCGGGATCCCCGGGTCCTCCCACTTGGCACCGGGTCATATCACTGGGTTCCATCGCTCGGTTAGGAGGGGCCGGTTTCCATCCGCCTTTCTCAATGTCTCTCAGTCAGTCTCTCCCTCCACCCCGAACACCCGCACCCCAACTTGAAACAGCAATACCTCTTACCATGCAAACACAACCCCTGTCTGTCCTCCTCAGCTCCTGCCTTCCTGTTATTCCCTCTTACTCTCTAATGATAGTAATGGCAGAGGAATAATAATCACCGCAGCGCTCATTTATCAAGAGCTTTCTATGTGCCCAGCGCAGGACTTGAAGCCCCAGGCGGCCCTGAGAGATGGGGTTTGTTATTACCCCACTCAGAGACAGAGAATGTGGCTCAGAGACAGCCCGGTGAGGATGGGCAGAGCCGGCGCCAAGCCTAGGCACGCCTCACTCCTGAGACCTGGCTCCCAGCTCTGAGTCTGAGTGTCTTGCTCCCTTCCCTGCCTTTCAAAGCTTTCATTGTCTCCACAGAGAAGTGACTTGGTTCTGCCCTGGGTAGCGAGGCAGGAGGGGGGTGGGTATCACTAGCCAGTCTGCAGCCCCCAGGGTGGGTGATGAAGGGGAAAATACTCTTCTTTAAGCCACTTTCCTTTAAGTATTTTTTTAAAAGATTTATTTATGCATATTAGAACTGGGGTACAGGCCAGAGATGTGGGGGGGGGTGAAAGGATTCATTAGAGACAAAGTAGGGAGCAGAACAGGCAGAATGACTGAAATATACTGCTGAGGGGAGTGGCGGGCAAGACAGGAAAGGTCTGCTGCGCCATGTGGGTAGCTCCCTGGCCGGGGATCAAACTCATGCTTCAGTGGCTGTGGATAGCTTCACAGGTTGCATCTTAACCCCTGTGCCACCAGGGAGGCCCTCCTTTAAGTGTATTTTAAGAAAAGAAGTATATTTAAAGAGAGTGCTTTATATCACTGCTGTTAATGGAAAGCCAGGGCAACTCACCCATACACAGAAAGAACCCGAAAAACATGGTGAGCAGCAGACAATGGTTGTACACGATAGCCACTTCAGCTCCCATGCCCTTTTTGTTTAAAATGGAGCTAGCAAGTGTGCAAGAGAGGGTCGGGGCACATCAGCACGGAAGGTCACTGGGTGACTCAGAGTCATTCCAAGCCATTTTTTTTTCCTTTTTTTTTTTTTTTAAATAAAAGCACCCACCACTAGTTTTTTTTTTTAATTGATTGATTGATTGATTGAATTATACATACATGCATACAAACAATGGGTACTGTCAGAAGCAGGGGAGGGTGAGAGAACTCACCAGAGCCAGAGAGGGGAGCAGAGCTGGCAGAAGGACCGAGGTACACTGCTGAGGGGAGCAGCGGGCGGCAGGAGAGGTCTGCGCGCCATGTGGGACCCTCCTCCAGTGGCCAGGGAGCAGCCGGGGATCGAACCAGCGCTGCAGAGGCCCTGGGCAGCTTCGCAACCCAGCGCTCAACCGCTGCGCCACTGGGGAGGCCCCATTCCAAGCCATTTTCAAGCCTCCTGCCCTCTGGGAAAAACTGCCCCGGACTTCTCCAGACCTGAGGGGTGACCTCAAATCAGTCTTCAGGCACATTCATGAAATACCTGATGTTCTTACATGCATGACCTCACTGAGTCCTCACTGTCTCCTTGAGAGGTAAATATCCCCATTTTACTGAGGTGGTAAGTAAAGTCCAGACAAGATCCCAAGCAAGGTCCTATGATGGAAAAATGGAGTGTGATCATTTTGATCGGGGCTAGGGATGGGGAGGAGACAGGGTGAGACATGAAGCTAGTATGGTAGGAAATCTGCACACACATATTGCTTGTGGCCTGTCTGCTCTGAGTTAATTTTCCAGCCCAAGGACTTATCTGGAAGAGTGTCCAGTGCTATCTGCAGACCGGCCTCAGCACACAGGGATGGAGGGCTGCAAGGAGCCCCAGGGGCTGGACATCGCAATCTCCTGGCAGCGGTGAAAGCCCACTAACTGCTGAACTCTCTTTGTTCAACTCACTATAAAAAGCCAGCTGGAGGGCCTCCCCTGGTGGCGCAGTGGTTGAGCGCTGGGTTGCAAAGCTACCCACAGCCTCTGCAGCGCCGGTTCGATCCCCGGACGCCGGGCGAGGGTCCCACATGGTACGCAGACCTCTCCTGCTACTCCTCTCAGCAGTGTATTTTGTCAGTCTGTCTGTTCTGTTCCCCACTCTGCCTCTCGTGAATTCTCTCACTCTCCCACACTTCTGACTGTACCCCGGTTCTTGTATAAATAAATAAATAAATCTTAAAAAAAAAAAAAAAAAGCCAGTTGGAAGGCCTCCCTGGTGGCTCAGACAGTTGAGCGCCGCACTGTGACGCTGTCCGCAGCCTCTGCAGCACATGTTCAATCCCGGCCAACTGGTGAGAAACCCACATGGCGCGGCAGACCTCTCCTGTCTTACCCACTGCTCCCCTCAGCAGTGCATTTCCGTCAGTCTGCCTGTTCTGTTCCCCACTCTGTCTCTGGTGAATCCTCTCACCCCCCGCCCCCATCTCTGGCCTGTACCCCGGTTCTTGTATAAATAAATAAATCTTTAAAAAAAAAAAAAAGCCAGCTGAAATGAAAGGTGAAGGCGGCTTCTTTACAGTGTTAAGCCCCCTCTTCCAGATTGCTGGCTGTCTGATTAAAGCGCACTTTAAATATTTAATTCCTGTCTTTACTTTATTGGCATTCAGTGGTGACATGTGGCCCGAATGCCTGTCTTCCGGTTACAATTTCACCCTGACCTTTCTGATGCCAAACAGCTTCTTCTCCTACATCACCTTGCTGCCTTCACTCTAGCACATGGCAACATCCACAGATCTGTCATGTCCACTGAAGATGATTGATAAGAAATAGCTACTTGCTCACTCAGCTGACCAAAAGATATTGCTCACATATATTTGGTCTTCATCTACAGTTCCTGCCTCCTATCTCCCTGAGGTCCTTGGAATTTCTTAACTACCCAGAGAGACAGGTCTTTTGTGATGTGAACAAGGTGAATTTTGGAAGCAAGTAAGGATGGGGGCTGTTTGCCAAGAGAACCAAACCAGCGATGAGAGGCTTGGAATTCCCAGATACTTCCAGACCACCAAGGAGGGGTGAGTAGGGAGGGGCTGGAGGTGGAGTTTAATTGTCAGTGGGCAATGATTTAATCAATGGGGCCTAAGTAATGAAGCCTCCAAAGCAACCCAAGAGGATGGGGGTCAGAGAGCTTCCAGATTAGGACAGAAGGACACAAGGACAGACCGTCCGTTGGCCTGGGTATCTCTTCATTTGACTGTTGATTCTTGTCCTTTGGTATTCTTTGTCATAAATTAGGGATCTATTGTGTAAACAGGTTTCCTGGCTTTTGTAAGATGCTCTCACAAATTAATACAACCTGAGGATGGGCACCTCCAATCTGTAGCTGGTTGGTGGCAAGCACAGGAAATAACTGAGGCTCGAGACTGGCTTTGAAGTACAGGGCCTTCTTGTGAGACGGAGCCCTCTCCCTGTGGACTCAGGCTTCCTCCTGGTAGATCGTGGCAGAATTAAATTGAATCCTCAAACGCCCTGCTGGTG